CTCTTGAGGTTTCGTGGGCTAGTCGACGAAACACTGAGGACGGAAGGTGCCCACTTGAAGACCCTAGAGATGTCCCCTACTCGGTTCAATCCAGACGGTTGTCGTGCTGGTCCTGTAGTTGCAGCCGTCGCGTGCGCTGACGCGCCAAGTACACTGCTGCCGTTAACGCCGGACAGAAGGGGAGTCACACTACCTTATGAAAAGAAGCGTAAATGGATGGAGAAGCATAGTTTACTGTAAAGCTACGTCTTAGTTTTGCTTATCTTGGCGAAAGCCGAGTACAAATCAGCATGAAGTTTTAACATCTACTCTCGTGTAATGGAAATCATTATAATATAATCTTTTGTGTTCAACAGAAAAAAGAAATTCATACAGGTTTGAAACAACTTGAGGGTGAGTAAATTATGACAGAATTTTCATTTTTGGGTGAACAATCCCTTTAACATAACAGCAATTACAATATTGTCGTAGACAAAAGGTATTGCTCAGCCCTATTTTGAGCACCCTCACTATTTTCAGAAGCACCCTCAGTGATTTGGTTCTAGAACCGGGCCTGGATGCAGGGATGAACTGACCCAGAGCATCTGAAGGCAGATTTACTTTATTGTTCTTCTTGTATCGCTAAGGTGAGATGGATTTCTTTCGGCATGTGCTTAACAGATGATTGTGTGTCTGATGTGTGCAGTCTTGCCATATGGGTTGATTTTATTGTTTGCTTACACACATCCACAGACAGACAGACACAAATGATTGACAGATGTGCATTTTCAGACGCACATGTGTGAACATCACAATCTTTGGAGTGCAGTTTATGCTCACTGTATTGACATTAAATTTGCATAGAATGCATAATTCTATTACATCATGCTCAACAAACCATCAAGCCTTACAACTTGTAATTCTGGCACCTAGAACAAAACTGTGAGTTTTGGATCTGAAGCAGATTCTTAGCAATGTGTCATTTTCACCACACAGCTTTCCCTCTGTGTTTGAATTAATGAAGCGCCAGACTTGTAACGCAGTTGTGGTTACCATAAGCATTTTAATGAAGTCTATGGTGGAGGTCTGGTTGATGTAATCAGACTGAGATTCATTAAGATCTTTGTTTACCAAGCTGTTTCTCCCACCCAGAGGATCTAACACCGATAACCACCACAACTTGCCAAACCCTAAGGGTAGAGTATGTGAACTCAGCAAAATATCAGAGAAATATCTTTTTTTTTTCTTCTGGGAAGTGGTCCAAGTAAATAAAGCTAGAGCTCACTACCTACTTCATTTATAGCAGAATGTGTGAAAACACAGCAGGGTCAATGCATGTAGATTTGGCGTATGCTATAAAGGGGAAATTGAAGGTATGTTATTATGCAGCAATTGTTTAGTCAAAGCAGTTTGTAATGAGAAGCAGCTATTTTTGTAAGTCTTCCTAACATGTATTATACATACTATTGCAACAGACTGGCATACATATGATCTGCCCCTGTCAGGCAGAAAGTCTGGCTCTTTTATAATAATAATAATAAAGATTATTTTGAAAGATTATCTATTTTTGTACTGTATCTCAGTGACTCTTTCTGTAGGTTATATCATTGTATCAGTAGGTGGCACCAAAACACTTTATGAGTGAGTCACTGAATCATTCATTTAACTGATTCGTTCAGACACATTGGATGCTTCTCAAACAGAAGGCTGTGTCCTTCCTAGTCCAGTCTTTCAGAGGCTTGTAGGCTGGAGTCCTCCTCAGCATTGAACGCAAGAAAGAAACGGTCTAGTAAGTGCGCATAGGATCCTTTAAATTGAGACATCGGATCCTTTGATGGAGCTCAATGACATGGGAGTCAAGATATGCAGCCTTATAAGACACAGCCTTCTGAATGGAAATCACCCATTCATTCATGCAGTAAATTATATGTTGATGGGTGAGCCAATGAATAATGCACTATTTTTTTTTTTTTTTTTAACACTGATGTATAATTCAGGAACAAAACATGTGACTGTCTGGTGTCATTGAGTAATTCACTCAACCGATTCGTAAAAAAGAAAAAAAAAACTGATTCATCAAGGACCATCACTACCATGTCTTGCTTAGAAACATCCAGCGTTTGAGTCTACTGTGGCTTTGTTTGGAACTATTTTCTTTGCGGAGCAAAAACAGACAAAATAGTTACTCTATTTACTTGTTTATCAAACTGTTGCATAAAATAGAAAAACACTTGTAATTGTGCTGCTGGTCTGAATATTATATCAATCAGTCAAACATAATGAATCTAGGTGGAGAACAACGAGCAAACAAAGCTAAAAGGGAAAGGGTTATCTTGAGGAGTGGGTTTTTGTTTTGTTATAGGTTTGGTCCTGGGACTTTTCTGGGACTTATTTGCCTTGAACATTTAAGGACACTTCAATATCTCTAAGTGTTGTGAATACATCCAAACATTATTTATAGTTCATTTGAAACTCTGGTCTGTGTTTGTTTGTTGGGTTCATTGATTATTGTCTTTGGACTGATTTTGTTGATGTATCCTTTTCTTGATATTCTTTGGGCCAGATTAACTTTAGAATCGACTTAATGGATATTTGTGCCACATTTTTTTGACTCTTTTGTGCTTACATTTATTTTAATACATTGTGATTGACATTTATACTCAGTGGTTTATTTGAAGTGTATTTGCTACATTAACGTCTTGTTTAGTAAGTGGATTTCTTGTTTATTGGGTAACTAAAGAAAGCATTTTTAACAGGCCTGTATAGCACTCAGAACTATTCAATTGCTATCAAAGGCAGTTCTAAACAACCACTGCTGCAATATGCACCAGTAGTACCCCTGTTTCTGAGGTCTGTTGTGGGACCACCTCTTCCTTCAGAGGTGATATCAATCTGTCTTTTACCTCACTAATGACTTTACCACAACACAGCTATATATTATTCCATTATTCTCTAAAGAAAACTGTCTCACTTTGTTTAGGCTGGTTTATGTATTTTCTCAACCATCCAGCTATGTGAAAAATGCTGTACATTTGATAATTATGTGTTATTCACCTCAAACCAAACTTGGTAATGGTTTTGGTTTGAGGTTAATAAACATTATCTGGCTGTAGTCCTCCTGGTTCATCCATCTTTTATTCAAGAAATACAATTTTCAGGTTCTTTCTGTTGTGATGGCTCTGCTAATGGGGAATGTGAAGTCCAAACCAGTCTGCTCTGTAGTGTCGAAAAAAAAGAAAGAAAAAAAGTGAGATCACAGAGAGAGTTATGGTGTCTTAAACATTGGTCCTTTAAATCACATCTATATGGAATATGGTGGAGTAATTTCTTTGGACTTATTGATTAAACATTAGTTTTTTTGGGAAATGTTTTTTTATCCAACAGGACTGGGCTATTGTGGTAAATGAGAGTTCAGTTCGACCATGATGTGTTATTTACTCTTCAATGAGCTCTTCTCTTGTATATACTGTGGTTGACTTCACTCTCTTGTCTATGTCTACCGCGTCTTTGGTCTTTGGTCTGTCCACACTGAAAGCAAAAATGCTGCCTCGAATCAAAGTCCTTTTAGGCAAGTCATGCCACTCGGCTGCCATCTTGGCAACGCCTCCGGGCAGCTATTTCGGACTAACAAGACCAGGCTCCTATCTAAATGAATGGGCAGAGTGTCAGAACTGCACTTTCACTGGTCACCGGGACATAAAAACTGCTTGTATAGAAACAGCAGTAAAATGTGATAAAAATCGCTGAAAAAGTTTGATGACTTTGCCCCAAAATAAGGTTTAAAAGGTATTTTTCCCCACAGGTTATACGTTTACTACGCATTCACAAGGGTTATCGTCTCCGCTGTCGCAAACCTTAACTGTGCGCATGCGTCAGTGGAACCAGACGATAGGCTTACATGTTTCCCGGTTTGACTGTTAAAAGCAGACGATTGGCTTTCCAGCGGGAGGGTCGGGGCATGTGCATACAACCGCCATCTTTGGCGTTACGGGTTTTCCTTGTCGAAGTTGAGTGATTTGTCGTCATATATCAGTCTCTTAGGTTTTAACAGGTTTACAGTGAGTAACTTAAAAATATAGTAGGACAGAAAGTAGGATTAACATGGAGAGATTTATTGCTTGTCACTATGTGTTTACATGTGTTTAGAGGGCAATGCATTGTAATCTTACAGAGGTGCCACAGCAATGGAATATTAATTTTCCAGACTATTGGTAACAAAAAGCCTTCAAAAGTTTGGGGTTGGTAAGATTTTGTAATGATTTTGAACAAAGTCTCTTATGTTCATAAGACTGCATTTATTAGAAAAAAAAACTGTAAAACAATAATATTGTGAAATATTATTACAATTTAAAATTAAAAATTTCTATTAACATATATATATATATATTTTTTATTCCTTTGATTTAAAAGCCGACTTTTCATCATCATTACTCCAGTCTTCAGTGTCACATTCTTCAGAAATCATTCTAATACGTATGCTGATTTCAAGCTCAAGAAACATTTCTGATTATTATCAGTGTTGAACAGTTGTGCTGCTTAATATTTTTGAGGAAACAATTAAACATTTTTTCAGGATTCTGTGATGAATTAAATGTTAAAAAGAACAGTGTATATATTTTAAATAGTTTTTTTTTCTGTAACAACGTGAAAACCTTTATTGTCACTTTTGATCAATGTAATGCATCCTATTCCTTGCTAAATAAAAGTATTGAAAAAAACTTCCTGACCCCAAACTTTTGCACGCAAGTGTACAGTTAAACAGTTAACAGTTAGACTAGTTCTCATTATGTCCTTAAAACATTTGAAGTGAAGACTAGGACAAGGCACAAGACTTGCACTGTACATCAAAACAAAGTATGGCCATACAGTAAATCCAGAGTAAAATCATATTAAAACATTATAAGATAATTTACAACATGCTTATTCAAAACAGTAGCACCTTGAATACTAGCAGTTCATTCTGCTGTCATGCTTTCTAAATTTTTCTAAATGCTTTCTGCTGTCATGCAGACTAAATATACATATTATGTTATAATATAATATAATATATTATTGCATGCTATTTTAAAACCTATTAAAAGCATTAAAATGTAGAGCTACTCGAGGTAATGCCTGCTTTTATTAGATCAAATATAAATGTTATGAAGGACTCGTAGGCAGAACACCCAATCAGGAGGCAGCTTGTGGTACTCCAGTTTATTTCCGTCCAGCCTCAGGATCTTCATTCGTGAATATGATGTGGGTCCTACTGTCCTGCAGAGACTGCTCACGTTGAAAGCTGGAAAGTTATAGCAGAACAGATTGATTGTTGTGATTTAGTTGCCGTGTAGTCTTTTTTAATGGTCATGTCACATGATTAAACATAAATAGATTTGTTTGATATTATCTTATGGTTAACCAGCATGGCAGTAGTAGTGTTATCATTAGTAGCGTTATCATCACTACCAGAAGAGTATTTATTGATTTATTTATTTGTACATATTTTCACATTTGTCTCAACTTTCACACTTTCATAGTAAGCTACTTTATCTAGCAGGCAAAAAAATGGTAATGTTACCTCTTCCACTGTTTACTGTTGACAGAAATAGCAAGACAATGAGGTAAACATATTTGGCGATTAATGTGATGAGCCGTTTCAGATAATTGCAAGCAGACATCAATCCTTCACTAGATCACACAACAGTCAAACTACAGCCCTCGTAAACAGGAGCTGCTTCCCAATACCGTGTAAATAAGTTACAGGTGCGCAGGCATTGGCACCTCTTCAGTGATCGGTTTCATCCTGGTTTTAGATACTCATTGTAATGGTAGAATAATAGTTATGTATCTAAGCTCTAACTGCTAATGCTAAGGGAGAATCCAAGAACTGAAAGACCATGACCATGAGGCATGTCTGGTGGCATTGAGACTATTCTCAGAACCGAGAATTGATATGCGTTTACAAAGCACTTAAGGTGTGTAACTTTTGTATCCGTTTTTCCAGTCCTCTAGCCTGCAATCCAGCAATAATAATATTATTATCATCATTTTCTGGAAATCTATGTGCAGAACAGGCACACAGTGTCTACATCCTCAGACTGGAGCCTTTTGAATAGGTCTTGTCAATACATTTTCTATTACATTCTTTCCATTTGTTTTCTGAAGGTAGAGCTGACAGTTTGACAGGCCGTTTAACCTTTTATAACGTCCACTTCTAGGTTATAATATAGCCTACCAATCGTCTCTTTTATCTTTTTCAGTAATGGCTTGTTAAACATTAGATTTTTATACTTCACTTTGAGCTGGTAAACCACTATTAATATCACAATTAGTCGATACATTCTCAATTTCATTCTTTCCATTTGTTTTCTAAAGGATAAATCTGACAGGTTGACAGGTTTTTTCCTAACCGCACTTCTAGGTTTTAATATAGCAATTGGCTATTTTCTACAGTGGCTTGTTAATAATTAGAATATTATACTTTACTTTGAACTGGTAAACCACTTCTAATGGCATGATATTTTATTATATGGTTCAAAACAGTGAATCATGACCACTGCCTGAAAAAAAAAGTCTGCTGAAGTCTTTGCAGTTGACCAGTGGCACAGCTCTTGTAACTGAGCTCGGCGTGCTGCTGAGGAGGAGGGGGAGAGAACAGAGCGTGCTTTTAGCACATGTGGATTCCTTTTGGAGTATTCACAGATGTTCCCAAACAAACCTTCCTTCTTTCCTTTCTCCCTACTTCTCTTTCAGCTAACCTACTTTTTCTAGTCACCTTGTGTCTCTCCAGGATGTTTCTGTCTGCAAACACGTTGTGACAAACGCATTAGAGAATGAGAAAGGGGGAAAAGGAAACAAAGAGAGGAGGGAAAGTTTGTTATTTCTCTTCTAAAATCCTGTCACATTTTCCGTCATTTTCCCATGGCCCGTCCGATTCTGAATGTTGATTCTCTCGTGCCAGAGATTATTTCATCGGGCCTGAGAACATAGCCTCATACTAGACAGGACAAACATTTGAGCAGTTCTCAGTCAAGCTTACAGATTTGTGTTTAGAATAATTTCTGCACTTGGCTGATATTTAACTCTTTCCCTGCTATTGACCGAGTTGTCTCGTCTTTCATGAGAAAATGCTTCCCCATCCTACCAGTTTTTTACGGCTTTTCGTATTTTCACTGTTATAAGGTACGGGGCGCTATTACACCTCTTCTGAAAGAGTACTGAATCCCCTGATCAAAACACAGGTGAAGAAGATGCAGAAACAAGCGATAACATATGTAAAATAATGCAATCATCAACATTAAATAGCATATAAATCAAAACTGCATAATATTACTGAATGAAATGTTGACCCAGGATGAGCTACAGGACTGTGAAGCTTTGGGGGTGTTGATGAACTTGATCTACTCCATCTATGTTTTGATCATCATTCTGAATCCGATCTGGATGTAGTCTTTGACAAAACCGCGATTTTTCTCAGCTTACCCATATTCAAGTGTTGATAATAAAGAATAAATTAAGCTAGAATAAAGCGGGTTTTTTGTTTAAAAGCAGAGGGTCTTTTCTTTGTTCTTTCTTTAAATATATTGCATCAGGGTTCAAAATGACTTAGGACTCTTGGGGGGTCCCCTAAAATGTAATGATTAAATTATTAAAAATTCTGAAGACTACCTTGCTACACTATAAACTGTAGGCAAAATTATATGGACCAATGTTGAATGTGGGATAATGGTCTTGGGATATTTTTCGTGGTTTTGTATTGTAGTGGTGTCTGGAGAAGTGGCTATAATCTAACAGTTAACCCTCTAACTCTGGAGCAACAAAGTTACAGCACCTTATATAAATCTAATCCCTGACATGACAAAGTGAATAACAGGTCATTCTGTCTTTGAGCAAGGAAGTGAACTCTAAACCCACCAGGTGTACTCATCATGGCAGCACCATGCACCTTCAAGGGGTTTGATCAAATACAAATGAGATTTCTCATCCCTTATGTTACATTAAATGGAACTTGTAAAACAACTGGCCGCTGGATTGAATAATAATGATGTCTGAAAAGACTGTACCTGATGGTTTACTTTGTTTCAAAGTAGTCAAATACATCTAAACTAAACTAAAATCTTTAGGGACACGTTTAAAAAAAACTTAAAGATATTCTAACATGACTAAAAGCCATTAAAATGACAATAGTCCAATTAGTAACCACATTATTCAAAATCAACATGTTCGGGGACTAGGCACATATTTTATTTATTTGCCTTAATTAGTTCTCAAAATTAAAATGAAAAAAATATTACTTAGGAATAGCCTACCGTTTATTATTCTAAATTAAGAAAAATAATATTAGCTTCCTAGATAGCTTACCAAGCTCTCATGTACATGCTCATTCATGCTCAAATCACATTCACTTTAATCAACTCACAGACTTGAATTAAGTCCTGGTTATCTTTCGTAATCACTGACTGGACAATTAGGTTGTTAGGCTAGCTTTAAATAACTAGTCTAGCTGCTAGGTCTGCTGTTAGCTGGCAGATCATTTGGCTTCACACCATACCATAGACTGTAAAAGCTTCATACACATACAGCTAGCGAGAAACGTTGACAAACGTACTCTTCTAATCATTACACTGCGTATCTAGTTAATGCAACTTTTGATATAGGAACTCGAACTCCTAATATTTTACTATAACAATTATTATAGAGATATAAACATAATCGAAGCACTTACAGGATTTTTATTCAGGATTTCACTTTTGTGAGGTTTCGTTTTGCTGCGTTTAGATACAGTGTGTGTCTGCGGGAGCAACACAACAACAATCTGTGACGCTGTAGCGAACTCACTTGGCTTATAGCGGCCCTGATTGCTGCCTCACGCTACGAAATAAATTAATTACTGTTATAAATGTAAAAGGTCACTATATGACCTATAATTTTCACAATCATTTTTAAGGTTAAAACATATTTGTCGGGGACCCCCCAAAATCCAAAAATAAATCCTTATGGGGGGTCCCTAATGACTTATGGAGGGTCCTGGACCCCCCCAGACCCCCCTCATTTTGAACCCTGTATTGCATGTTCAGATATTCATACAACAAAATATTCTGGGGGCCATGACATTTTTGTGAAAGATTATCAAAAACGCTGGGGGAACAGCCAACTTTAAAATAAAAAATAGATTCTGGTGCGTGGGGAAAGAGTTAAGATTGTAGCAGACATATAAGCTTGGTTGATACATTTTTCACTGCCCAATATTTTTATCTGTAGGCATTACAAGGCCCGGGACAGCGTTCCCGACAGATTTGTGCACAATACAAAATTGTACTTGGAATGCTTTTTAAATTCCATTCACAGTTCTCGAATATGAATTAAATCTGATTTTGCAAATACTGTAGCATGCAGAGTTGCAATTTGAATTTAATTATACTTAAAATAAACTGAAATTTTGGCAAAGCTTTGTATGAAAGTTTAGAAAAAAAATTGATAGGTTGTATTGACCTTTTAAAACCTATCTGTTTGAAATACTTATATTTAATAAATGTATAGGCAAAGATAGAAGTATACTTATTTTTCCAGAATACCATTTACTGTTGAATTTCTCAGAATCCATCAACTTCCTAGCCTGACTTCGTCATACTCATATTCTAGTCAGAATGTGAGTCTGATACTGCTCCATAGGGCTTTGATTATGAGATGTAACCGAACCAGGAAAAAAAGAAAACTCTGCACTTAATTGGATAGACCTACAACCAATCAGAGCACCGCAGTAAGTCAGCTACATAGTTGCATAGCATAGTTTCAACAGAACTCAACTGGACGCACGCTGGAAGAAGTAGTAAACTAATGAGTGTTGCTTCTTATACTTGGTCCTCCATGAGTGCGAGTGTGCGACCAAAGGAGAAACCACAACGACCGCAGGGTTTTCATTGCGTCCCATCTTCTTAGTGACCATCGGAGCCAGCTGATAAAATAAACTTTTGCCGAATCCCGTAGTAAGGACGGCAAACATATCTTTCCGATCTACAAATGCCTTGATTGCAGTTCTCTGTTCGTCTTTTAAAATGAATGCGCTGTTGATTTATTTTACAACAGACGCGATAGTGGAATCTATACATCTCAATTCTCCAGCTGCAGTCATCTCTGAGGGAAACCAGTTCAACCCAAGCGCTCTCTGATAACGTGATGATTACGTAACTGCAGATCATCTGTCCATCATCGTATAAAGCCCGCCCTGGCAATTTGATTGGCCCGACTAATTTTTAACCGATCATAATTACTCCTCAATGGATCGAGTCCAGACCGAACTTCCCGACCAAAAAATTTTGTGGGCGGGGTTCGGGCTGGCATCCAGGCTATCAACTTCCTTCAATTACACTTCAAATTCCAAAATTCCAGTTGGCAAATTCAATTGAAATACACATTCCCAAGTGAAACTGAAATTGTGTAGTTTGCCACATTGAAGTGATTTTGTAGATCAAAACCAATCCATTGTTTCCTGAAGTCTGTCAGCACTGCTTTATTTCCACTATAAACATCTCGTCTCTTGAAAATCTGCAGTAAGATTTAAGTGTCATGCTCTCTCTTCTGTTGGAGCAATTTATTGAATCTTTTTTTAATGTAAAATTAGCGAGACAATAGCTTAAAAAATAAGGTTCTCTGTTTTGTGTCTTGACACAATTATTCTGTCAATCAACCTGGCATGAAAATTTCCTCTGTCACATTGAAATTAAGCAGTGCTGATTTTTCTCAATGCAGTGCTAAAGAATAAACCTCAGTGTTTGTTTGTGTAAAATAAGATCCTTACATCAACTCACCTTGAATTTGGTTAACCTCAAGGTAGAGGTACTGAAGGGTGGTGGGAACGGTTGGGATTTCTGTTAGCTGGTTATATGAAAGGTCCAGCTCTACCAGAGATGTGAGGTTAAAGGCTCCAGGGTCAAGCCCTTCATTCCTCAATTTGTTGTGTCCGAGCCGTAGGTAACGGAGTCCATTAAAACCATGAAGGCTGTTCTCGGTCAGGCCTGTAAGAGAGTTGTTGGAGAGGTAAAGCTGCTGGACAGATGAAGGCAGATGTTTGGGGAAAGTATCCAGGAGGTTGTGACTGAGATCCAAGAGGTTGAGGCCTCCAAGACCTGGTGAAGTACATGAAAGATAGAGTTAACGCTGAGTTTACAGAATGATCAACTTTAATATCAAAGTTTCCTGATGATTTATGTAGGGATGCACAATACTGTATATTTGTCTCATATCATTTATCGGATATTAGAGATTTATTTTTGAATGAATGAATGAATTATTTTTGTATCAGTATCTGTTGTTGGGTATTTAATAAATTAGTATTATCATTTATTATTGTCATTTCCTCTATTTTTTACATTTAGATGACATTTGCCATCATCAAACATTTAAAGTTAATCTTTAAAACTAATGATTTATTAACGCAGTTAAATATAATCTTTAGCAAATTTAAAAATGAATATCCATTTTTATAATGTACATTTATGTTGTAATGCCTACATTTACGTGTAGCATTTATAATAATCAGAGATGCACCGACTGATCGCCTGGTGACCGGAATTGGCCGATTTTCACGTGATCGCCATGACCGGCGACCGGTCAGTCTGACATATGCCGATTTAATGCTGGTCAAAATGCACTCGTGCGGCGCATGATTAACATCGCACAACATCAGCATCACACGTGCACATGTAGGAAACCTCGAGAATTACGTCCGTTTCACACCGCAAGCGTGAGCGGCGCGCATGTTAATCAACGAGTGCATTCACACTGGGAGCAGGAGCCGCGCGTGAGCGTCGAGCAGGAGCGTCGCAAGAGCAGCAGTGAAGCGGTTTTGGCGCAGAGAATATTTTTGCTGCGCTGCTTACGCTCAATTAAAGTGAAAGCACACTTTTGATGGACAAAATAAATATGATTTCACACAAAAAGTGCCCAAAATGCACAGAATTTGCATGTCTAGTGTGTTTTAACAAGAACTGGAGTAGGCTATGTCAGAAATTAAAATGAAGACTCTTTATAGAAAAGATTTATAAAAAATGTACCCATTTAAACTTGTTTTTATCATTCATTTCGGATAAAAGTATATGGTGTTTTATAAATAAATAAAAATATAGAAAATAAATATTTGGGTTATTGAAAATCAAAAAGTGGTTAGAAAAAACAAAATCGGAATCGGCTAAAATCGGTATCGGCAGGTCAAACTCAATGAAAATCGGAATCGGCCTAGAAAATTGTAATCGGTGCATCTAGGGGTGTGGCGGTTATTATATAACCGTGAGACCGACGGTTATAGTTGAACACCGTCATTAGAACTCTATAACCGCCAAAACCGTGCTATTAAAATATTTTTTACAAACATTTTTTATCATAGAGAATGTTTAAATACTAATATCAGCTTAAGAGGGAAGCGGAGGCTGCTACTGCTGGAGATGATTCGGGAGAGGTCTGTGCACCTTTTCTGATCAGAGCGCGCGCTGACACGGAGTAAAGCCTTGTTTATACTCGACGCGTCCGCACGATCGCGAAGTTGCGCGCGGCACAAATGACACGTTCGGTGCGCAAGACCGGCAAGACCCCATTTGGCTTGGCTGTGTGCACGGCTTTTTTTTTTTTGTAACAGCGCGCGCGGCGCCGCGTCCGAGGATGACCGACTTCAAGCCGAATCTGCCCGAGCATGCACGTCTCACCGCACCGGCACGCAGTTTGCGCGTTTAAATGACAAAGTTCATTCCAAATTTTTTTCGTTAAGGTTTTGTTTACTGTGTGTGATTTATTAAAAAAAAGCACATTCATTGCAACGTTTGTTTGTTTTGTTAGTTAAGGATTTGTTTACTGTGTGTGATACATTTAATGGAAAGCACATTCACTTATAGTTGTCTTGCTGCTCATGTAAACGTAGAGCCAGTAGCTAATAGGTGTTTGCTTGTTTATTCAAACTAAGTTGTCCTATAACAGACGAAAAGTTTTTTAGCCTCCCCCCCCCCGACGACGGTTATGTTACGAACCGTCACATTTGACTCACGTCATAACCGTCATCACCAATTCTGAAACCGGCACACCCCTAGGTGCATCTCTAATTGATTTTAGTGCTTAATTAAAACAAAGAAGAAGTTTTTAGACAAATTGTATATAATTTTATATATCTATTTATATATTATCGGTTTTCAGCCATAATATTGTACCTGCTAAACAGTGCATCTCTACATTAAGCATTTGAAAGAAGCATTTCAAATATATAAATACCAATAAATACCTTTTAAGTCGCTCCCTTCAATAATCTTCAGACGGTTGCCTTGTAACAGAAGTACCGTTAAATTGGCCAGATTTTGGAATGCACCTGCAGAAATCATTTCGATGTGATTATATGCGAGTCGCAGTTGCTTGAGTCCGCTAGGCAGTCTGGCTGGCACCTTTGTCAAGTTATTATTGTTTATGAAAAGATTTACCAAGCGGGTCAGATTGGAGAACAACACATTATCGAGTTGCTCACTCAGTAGTTGATTGTGATCCAAGATCAACCAACGCAAGTTGGTAGCATTAGCAAACGCCCCGTATCCAAGGAAAGTAATATTATTCCCTTGGAGGAACAGGTACTGTATGCGGGACGGAAGGCCAGAGGGAAGCTGGTTAAGGCCCCTGTGGTCACAATAAAGGGCCGTTGGCCACTGGATCGGGCAGTCACACTCCAAGGGACAACTTTGTGCGTTCACAGCACGAAACCAGCCCGGATCCATCCGATCTTTCAAAGTCAAAACACTCGGCTCTCCCAAAAAACGGTTGATCCAGAGTGGTACACCTCCATAGTCCAAGTCCAATGTGAAGGCCCAAGTCGGCCCACACACAGAGAGTAACAAAACAATTGATCTGATATCCATTTGTCCGCCTGCCTAATGAAACACAAACAGCCTATAAAAACCCGTAATAGAGTTTATTATTCAAACTAATCAGGAAGCTTCTTTTCTTCTTGCAGCAATAAATAAAAGCTTACACACATACTGTTTAGAGAAAATAGCTTTTCGTGTAAGTTACAGGAGCAATTCCCAGCAAAGCTTTTGCATTCTTGCTTAATAATAATATGTTGAATACAACTTAACATCTATATAATCTCTATTTCATTATCAGCTACAGTTAATAAACTACTTTCAAGAGCGTCAATGAATATGCAAGTGGCTAAATTGGTTAAACATGCTACTTTCCAATAAATGTCTTCCATTCTCTTTCGCCATGCATCATCTACATATGTGAGAGGAATGTGCATACCTTTCGCCTCTCTTCCGCGGCCAATTTTAGTTAGGAAAGCCTCTGAAAAGGTAGATTTGTCGAGACTATCCCTGTAGATGTTTACGCTGGACACTGAATGGCAACCTGAAGAGTTTTACCCAGCTACTGAAACATTCTTCACTCAGCGATGGCCTTTCCTTCCATACAGCTTATTCTCACTCCTTTTTTTTCCCAACCTGTCTCGGAAGTCTATGGTTGGAGTCTAACCACTGCACAACATTTGTTAGAAACATGTGTGCTGGCAGCGTAGAAAGGGCAATCTTTACAGACAATTCTGTTGTGATTTAATATCTTTTGGAATTAAAACACATCACATTATGTGTGGATAGAAATCCTGTTTTTGATTTATTGTGACTTGTTTCTTCAAAGCTTGATAATGTATTATGCACAACTGATGTTGAATCATATGCTTATGCAAACCATATACTGTTACATAAACAGCCTGCAGCCCGCTGACTGATGAACTGTAATATCACGTCATTGAGCCTGTGAGAAAGAGGAGTATGTTTGAAGGCAGTATATTTTCTCTTTGCAGCTCTGGAACATCTAGCACAGAGAGCAATAGTTACAGTCAGACAGCTGGAGGGGACCTGGGGAGCCAAACAGACCCTGTTCGTCTATGAGAAAGCAGGAGAAAAGAAAAGAGGGAGAGAGAGAGAGTGTGGTTTAGTTGAGATAGCTTTAGTCCAACACTTCAAAGCCCTTCCATAGGGATGAGACAATGTTTTGGTCTATGAACGTCTGAAAAGCCAGAGTGCCCCCTAGCACTCAAATCAACCATAACAATCACAAAAGCAAGGTTCTGCATGACCTCCTGTCCTATAGAAATATTGTTATGATAATAGTGGAAGATTTTTAGATGAGACTATTATGAAATATTACTATTTTATATTTATACGTATTATTATCGTTAATTTACTTATTGCTTTAAATTAATATTTAAATTACATATTATTATTGTTCTTTGTGGTTTTGAAATATAATTTTTACTGCAACCCCCCCCCCCACCCCATATATTATAATGGTTAATATGTTAACATTTACCATTGTTTAATATATTTTTAAAAGCCCTCTTTTTATTGAAAGATCAAAAACATAAACATTAAAAGCACAATATAACAAATACAAATTACATTCTGTGGAATATTTAAAAATTTGTAAAAAAAAAAGAAAAAAAAAAAGTTTAATCACTTATGATTCATATAATATAGTCACCAAAAATGTTGTACTGACAACAGTAATAGTTTCGTTTGTTCTGAAACTTCACAAAATGTTTATTCGTTTAATATTTTAATTAGATTATATTATTAATAATCTGTATTATTTTCAAACATAATTTTAATTTCAAACATTAATCACCAAAATGTTTACATTACAGTTTACAACTAAACAGTAACAGTTTAGATTATTCTGCAATTTCACAAAAAGTAACTTAGCAAACTTGGATGATTTTTTACAACACTGAAAAGTTTATGTTGGCCTATAAATTGTAATTTCTCAATAAAAATGTTTTAATTATTAAGCACAACTCTTATTCGATTTTATACTTTAAGTTTGTTTAGGACACCAAGATGAACATGACGTGCACTGACACGTTTGAAGTCTTTTGAACTCTCTTTAAAGGCTAGACAGGTAGTTTTTGAAAAACACTGACTTAACTGTGTAAGTATTGCTCTGAGCTGGAGTGTTTTTGAAGGGGGCCTTTATGTTATTCCGTTCCTTCACTGTAGTCCGCCAGTGGCTGCCAAATTTCTTTTCCATTTAAACAGAAGGAAATGAAGAACCTTCCAGTGCTTTTTGGAATTGTACTTTGTTACCCAGCAGGCAGTGCAGTCTGACCACAAAAAAAAAGAAGTTTTTTCGCATTCATGAAGAAAAAACAGTTCCCTTTCGAGAGTTCTCTCGTATTGCGTAAGTAGCTTATGCTATGGGAAAACTCCTTTTCTCGAGAATATTGAAGCCAAATTTTTAAAACGCAGTGCAGCTGCACAGCAGACATACAGCTGAGCGTCTTAGCACGCTCATTGGCTGTGCCGCGGCAACTGCACGAACCTATGGCGAGGCGGCTAAGACGTGCGAATCAATGAGGTTGCTTCGCGCCCGCGCGTCAGAACCCGTTTATAGCTATATAAGCCCCCATTTTGCCATAGAAATCAGATTTAATCTCCTTCAGCAAGTTCCACTTCGCTGACCTCCGGTTTGAGAAGCCTTCTTTGGCTTCCTGGTTTTTGACTGGACGCCGCCTTTAGCTCGCTGTTTACAAGCCTTTTACAATTACAAGTGTATTCGCCGCTGCAACTCACTTTTCTAAAAGAGCAATATTTCAAGGTGTTGTTTCAACTGCCTCGTGATACCTGCGCCTCATGCAGAGGCCCTCTCTTCGGCACGGATCGTCACATCCTGTGCGCTTCCTGTCTGGGCCGCGACCACGCTGAAACTGCACTCCCTAAGGGCGGCTGCCCGGAGTGCAATGAGATGGCACTCTCCAACCTGCGGGCTTGATTGGCCAGCTTCGCCGACGACGCCCCCTCGCCTTCCGCTTCCGATAATAACATCTTAGGTGATGAGATTATTTTTGACAAAACATACTTTATATTTAACATATGAGCAGAAACTGGCTAACAAAAGCTTATTCGATGTCTATTTTAAAGTAAAAACTTTATAATCTATCCAAAACTAGTCAACAAAATGTTGTCTTTCATATTTCGTCTGTAACATAGTAAACAACAGTGCGCGTCTGTGCCGTTCATTTATTCACACACGGGAATGAATGAACATTCATTCATTCCCAATTCATATTTAAACAGTCTTTTTGCGGTTTACAGACACTATTCCATATCGCGATTAGAACAAAGCACTTAAGAATAAAAAACGTACTATTCACAATCCTCGGCTGGATCTGTTGCTCCTCAAAATGGAACTAAAACAGAACTTCTGAGGTAAATTTCCCAGGATTATTCCTCACAGCCTCGCAAGATGACATAGTACATTAATCTGATTAAATTTGGTGTTTTATCGAGTTGATGAGGTGATGGCACGTTTGCATGTATTGCCTCAGAGCATTTGCATTTGAATAGCACGCGCTCTCCATGGGCGTGATCACATTAGCACTTAATGAATTATAATGAGCTGAAATGAGAACGACTGACATCTCTCTCTTTTTATATAGATTACATAAACAGAGAATATTTGTTTTAGTTTTGAATTAGATCATTTAAAAGTACACACTTAAATGATTATAAAGATATATAGCTCATGCCTGGGTGAATAGTATTCGCTGAGTTTTGTTTAAGTTTAGAGACGTGCTCCAGAAAAAAAGTTCACGGAGACGGAGAGGCAGAAAGCACACCGTTTATTTTCTTTATTTTACAAAAGCACAATGTTTTATTTCGATTGTAAGTGGACACATAAAAAAAGTAGACATTTTTTAGACAACAGTTTATTTTTTCATATTTCTTAAGTCTGTATGACCAAAAGTTACGGAGTATTTTAAGTCTATTTTGCTGCTATGTGAAAATTTTTTTGCAAAACGCGCCGGCGTGTTTGCTGACCCCAGAGGGTAAAGCCAAGGCACGGGTATGTTTCTAAAGTGCTCTCTACTCCGTTCAGAGCGCAGGTTATTTCGCTGTCAGCTCTTCCCCAGTCAGAGGACGAGAGAGACGCGAATCTGCTCTGCCCTTTCAGGGCTTTCAGAATATATTTAGAGTGTTCTGCCCCGTTCAGGCAGTCAGAACAGCTCTTCGTATGCTTCGGCGGCCACTCCAAAGGGCTTGCAGTCACGAAGCAGAGATTGTCGTGATGGATAGTAGATGCCATCTTGCTGGCTTATGAGTCTAAGGGCCTCTGTTGTTCCATAGGCATCAGAGCTCATTCCACGAGAGGCATGGCCTCGTCATGGGCATGGTCGAGTGGAATACCAATTGAAGATATCTGTGCGTTGGCCGGCTGGGCCTCACCGTCCACATTTATGAGGTTTTATAGCCTAGAAGTTCCCGCTTTACAAGCAAGGGTTCTTTCTAGGGTTGTTTTCGACTAAGGATTTTCACAGTCGAATCTGATTCGTTAGATTTTGCCGTAGTCGACTGATAGTCAAACCTTTTTTTTTTTTTTTTTAGATAGCAGCTAGACGTTCGGTTGAATAACTGTTCGTCTGTTATAGGACAACTCGCTCTACGTTTATTAAAGATGAACAGCAAGACAACTAGAAGTGAATGTGCTTTCCATTAAATTAATCCTTAACACAAAAAAAAACGTTGCAATGAACGTGCTTTGTTTTAAATAAATCACACACAGTAAACAAAACCTTAACAAAAAAAACTTTGCAATGAACTTTGCAATTTAGACGCGCAAACTGCGTGCCGGTGACGTGTGGTGAGACGTAGCCTATGCTCGGGCAGATTCGGCTTGAAGTCGTTCATCCTGGGATGCGGCGTCGCGCGCGCTGTTCCAAAAAAAGCTGTGCACACAGCCAAGCGAAATGGGGTCTTGTCGGTCTTGCGCACCCAACGCGTCATTTTTTTGCCCTCCGCACCTTCGCGCTCGTGCGGACGCGTCGAGTATAAACAACGGTTTACTCCGTGTCAGCGCACGCTCTGATCAGTAAAGGTACACAGACCTCTCCCGAATCATCTCCAGCACACAGCCTCCGATCGCACCCATGTTTGTAAAAAATATTTTAATAGCACGGTTTTGGCGGTTATAGAGTTCTAATGACGGTGTTCAACTATAACCGTCGGTCTCACGGTTATATAATAACGTCACACCCCTCATAACCATAGACATAATAAATACATAGACGCCCTATTGGCCGCTTTGGAACGTTGCTGCGATACGTCAACGGGTCCGCCATTTTGCTGAGGGCAAGACTGCGCTGTGAACAAATGTAAGTAAACGGGTGAGCTGCGTTTTTTCTGGATAAAAACAAACTGTTTTTACATTTATCAACCGATTTCAGTGGTTTGTATGTGGTGTACAAAAAGTTCCATCTCTAGTTATTTAAAATCTCGATAGTAGTTAGACTTGTAAAATATATTTTTTTTAATAAAGAATGGTCAAAGCTCAGGCTTGTCATGTATTTGGCTTTTTATTCTTGGATAAGAATGGTGAAGACCCCCATACTGAGATATAATTTAAGTTTTCTTATTGTGGAAAAAGCATTTTCTGTGATTGACCAGATTTTAGCAATAACAAAGATAACTGATGGGTCCTTTATGATAATACATATG